ATTCTGGGCCAGCTTTAGCTCTGAGGCTTGGCTCCAGCTCTGAGGCCTTGGCTGCTGAAAGCAGGTGTCTGGTTTGTTTGGGTTCTATAATCGAAACACTGTTTCAACTCCAGCTCTGAGATCCCAGCTGGCTGAAAGCAGGTTTCTGGGGTTTTGTTTAGCTTCTATATTTGTAACAATGTTTCAAACTGCAAGCTCAGAGGCTGGCAGCGGCAGGCGGGGAACGTTGGAATCCTCCGTCACTGAAGCAAGCAAGCCTCACGTTCGCTTCAAGCTGCCTGGCTGCCGGCCGCCATCTTGGCTGGCAGTTAATTTGCATATTGCCCTGATTAGCCAATGGGAAGGGTAGCGGAGGTACGGCTAATTACCATGTTTCTCTTTTATTAGATAGGATAACTGAGACTCCAATGAACAGGTAACAAATCCTTTTGCCGATTCAGTGGTTTCCAATTCTTTGCTTTTAATAAAATTAAAGAAAGACTCTATTTGATAGTACCTGATAATAGTATTTGGTAATAGGACACTCTGTGATTGTTGGTATGTGACTCGGAAGTAGTTCAGACTGGAGGAATATCATTGTAACAGATCTCTTCCTTTCCCAATTACTATGTAAACAAGGCTTCTCAGCATTTATGTCTATAAAAATAAAAAACAGGTAGAGAATTGATGAGAATTCAAGAGAAACACCATATTTCTCATTAAGAGATATATTTTCAATAAAAATTGTACTTTTTAGGTTTCACAAGTTATAAGCATGTGTAATATATTTATGTTGTTTAATAAACTGTGTACTAGTCATAACTATAATGACAATTCAGTTCAGAAGAAATGTTAACAATTAAAGCCCATGGTCACAGGCTACAAATTTAAATTTACACTCATTTTTGTTTTAAAGTATGACAGTGATCAATAAAAGACTTTAAAGCATACAAATATACTAATTAGGATAAAATACTATATGGGAAGAAAATGGAATTGGGAGTTCAAGAAGAAAGGGAAAACTAAAATTCCTGTTAAAAAGAGAGCTTGTTTATATATTTTTTAATGGATGATGGTGGGCATCATATATTTAGAGTATTTGGAGTCCAGTGGATACATTTAAGAATGATGTAATGGTTTTAGTTTAAAGTGTCAAAACTTACAGCAAGTCAGAAATATCCTCTACAAGTATTTAAATTTATGATGGAAAATATAGATACCAACTTAAAATGAATAATGGGGTACACAGTTCTTTAAAATTCTTTTATGGAGTCTGTCTTTAAAAAAAAAAATTCTGAAGATCACTATTCTACATGGCATATTGCAGGGGTGGGGACCAAAGGCAGAACAGAAGCTGCTAGAAATGATCTTCAATCATCCACTCCAAAGTATTTTCCTCACCAGTTCTCCCAAGTACATGAAATTACCCACCATCAGAATCTTATTACTTCAAATGCAGACACTGGTTTCCTAGAGTGGTTTTTTGTTTGTTTGCTTGTTTTATTTTGTTTTTTTATTGATCTGAGGGAGAGGGAGGGGGTTGGAGGAGGGAGAGGCACATCCATGTGAGGAACATCAACCAGTTGCCTCCCATACTGGCCTGAAACCTAGGTATGTGCCCTGAGTGGGAATCAAACCCGAAATCTTTTGATGCAGGGGACAACTCGCTCCAACCAACTGAGCCACACAGGCAGGGCTCCCAGAGTTTCTGTTAATTGTGTAATGGGAGAAAGGATTAGCCAATCACATTAAAATCTGCAAGGAATGTGAGAAAGAACAGATGCATTTTTTATTATGAAAAAGGTGGTGGGAGGACAAATTAGGACAACCTGAATTCTGTTCCCTGCTCTATTTCTAACCAGGAGTTGATGCTACAAGACAAGCTACTTATTCTCTGTGTATCTATGTAAAATAACTTGCTAAATTTCCACTGTAGTGGTCAGGCTGTTTATTTATACAACAGGAGATATATATAGGATTCATTACTCATCTTATATAATAAAACCCTAGTATGCAAATCGACCAAACTACGGAATGACCAGTCGCTATGACGTGCACTGACCACCAGGGGGCAGATGCTCAATGCAGGAGCTGCCCCCTGGTGGTCAGTGCACTCCCACAGGGGGAGTGCCACTCAGCCAGAAGCTGGGCTCACGCTGTTGAGGCAGGGGCAGTAGTGGGAGCCTCTCCCGCCTCTGTTGCAGGCGGGTGGTAAGGAGCAAGGGGTCCCAGACTGCGAGAGCCCCGGACTGCAAGAGGGATCCCTGGGGCCTAAGCTGGCAGGCGGATATCCCCCAAGGGGTCCCGACTGCGAGAGGGCGCAGGCAGGGCTGAGGGACCACCCCCCTCCTGCATGATTTTCGTGCACGGAGCCTCTAGTTATTATCCTATATAATAAGAGAAAAATATGCAAATTAGGCCGGGACATCACGACCAGCTCAGAGCACGCCCCCAGCCCCAGCAGACACACACCACACTCCAGGGTTGGGGGCGGGCTCTAAGGGCTGCGGCGCGGCTCGGAGCCCACCCCCAGCCCCAGCACCATCCAGCTCTGAGACCACTCCCGCCAGAGGTTCATGGACAGGCACGCCGCACCACCTGCCCTGGGAGCAAGGCCCCCAGCACACCCACGGACCGCCCAGGGGGGTGTGCTCCGAGCTGCCCCGGCCAGACTGTGGTTTAGGCCTGCTCCCCATGGGCCTAAGCCTTCAGTAGGACATCCCCTGAGGGCTCCCAGACTGTGAGAGGGGGCAGGCTGGGCTGAGGGACGCCCACCCAGTGCACGAATTTCGTGCACTGGGCCTCTAGTATAAGAATAAGCCATCAGTTGCTACCCACTACCGGATGTGCCCGGTATTTTCCTGAGTACCTAAGGAAACTGTGGTCCCAGTCCAGCCTCAGGAAATGTTGAGCCAAAACAAAGATGGGGAGGAAGCAATGTCTGAAATGGAAAGAGAGGGCTTTCTGGTTAAGGTCTTCAGATGTGAGGAGAGGAATAGGATGTCAGTGCCCCCACTGGCATGTTTAGCCACCATAAGCCCCAAACTCAGTACTTTCCATTTTTTTAAAGTTAAATTGGGTGTGGTTTTTTTTGGGGGGGGGTGGAAGGAGGAGGAAGGAGAGGGAGGAAACAAAAGAAACTAGTTAAAGTCTAAAGGATAGAGATGGAAAAGTTGCTCACCTCATTCCTCCAGGCACTCAATTCCTCTCCTAAAAAGCAACCTCTACCAGTTCCCTATCTGACCCCTCGCCTTATTAACTTACTTTTATTTTTATGTTTTTTACCAAAGATTTCCTCCCTTTAATGTTCCCTTAGATTTCTGCGAGCGCCCCAATCGCAGCCTCTCCCCCGTGGGAGGGGAAATAGTAAAGGGCTCGGTTCCTTCACCCCGAGCGGGGATACAAGGGGAGTAGGGGTTTCGCGGCTGGGGTGGGGCGAAGGGGGAATGAGAGTGAACCCAAGGGCAGGGGCAGTGCCTCGCGCTCCTCACCGTCCTCCTTTCCCGCAAGGAGCTCACGGTCCCCGCGCTGCTTCCGGGGCTCGGC